GCTCTTTTTCTCCATTGATTTATGATTTGATGATATGATGGTACTGACTGTTATCTTCAACTTTGACTTAAGCATCTGCAACTGCTTCCAGTGCATGTCTTCAACTTTTCATTTTGTTGATTTAAGAGGGATTGAGGATTGTCTACCTCTGGTATTCTTTGTTGTTCATATTATGTATACTCCAATCATTGTTAATTGGGAAGTAGACCAACATATCCAATTTCCTCTGTTAGAAGTCCTTTAGTTGAGTCAATAATTTTCTAAAAGTTTAAATGTTAAAGAAATTATTGGATTTTTTAAAATATATTCCTGGATGCTTGTGTTGTTTTATTATTAAAACCTAAGGCTTAGTTTAGTAATTAAGTAAATCTAAATAAAATTAAGTAATTTTATAAATTAATTAAGTTCGGAAATTTGGGTGTTTGTTTTAAAATTTTGTACCTACTAAGTTGGCGATTTTAATTCTTAATTTTAATTTTTAATTGTTAATTAGATTGTTTGAATTTTGTAAACCAAAACCAAAAACTCAAAACCACAACCATACTAAACGGAGCCTAATTTGTGAACTTGGATAAGCTTTTTAGGGGCCAATAATCTGGATACATACTAGTAAATAGTCAAGATAACCTAATTTGGAGTTTAATACAGTCTACAAATGATTTTTTGATCAATCTTCTTGTTCTTTGTGGTGTTGCTTGCTTCTTTTGCCTGATTCTGGTCTTTTAAGGTCTGATCTTAACTCTTTCTTCAGCCTACTTTCTCTTCATCTTTTCAACCTGCCCAGCCTGCTCAGACTACTGGTTCTTTTGGCTTTAGCAACTTTGGTCAGATGCAACCAGGTAGTTCCTCCTTTATATATATATAAAATCCTGAACCTTCTTATAGCTGCTGACATGTATGGTCTTTTTCCCTTGTAGGTGGTACATCAAGCATTTTTGGTCAAAATACTTTTGGACAATCGTATGTCTCATCTACTGAACTTGCTTTTTTTAAACATTCAGTTACATAAGTCACAGATAAATATTGCATACACAATCACATATATACCATGCTTACACCTGCACATGTTTTGGTTCTTTGGTTTTATACTGTATGTGGAAGTTTGCTTGTGTATACTTGCAAAACATGTCCATCATGTTCTGAGATCTACAGGTGGTTATCCAAATGATTTAGTATTCTTTTTAGATTTCTTACTCTTGCATGTTATTGTGTGTGAAGGTCTGCCATGCAGAGTGCTGCTGTTGTACAACCCATGACCATTACAAATCCATTTGGAACACTCCCTGCGATGCCTCAAATGTCAATTAGTCGAGCTGGAACTGCACCATCTGTTCAATATGGGATTTCTAGCATGCCTGTAAACCTTTGACCTGCTCTGAACTTGAGTTTCTCAACTACTCAAAGCTTTGATCTGCTGTTCTTTGTTGTCTTTTCGTCGCTATTTTTCCATGCTTTTTTTTGTTTCCTAATGGTTTTATGGTAAAAGAAACTGAAATGATACTATTATATTAATTTGAGGACTGGTAATGTTCTTCATTCACTTCAGGTCATAGACAAACCTGCTCCTGTTAGAGTATCCTCTCTGTTGACTTCTCGACACCTATCCCAAAGGCGGATTAGGTTGCCTGCAAGGAAATATCGTCCTAACAGTGATAGTTCAAAGGTGAGGATTCTGCTTCTAAGGAAAAAATCTCATACTTTGGACACAGGTTTGCAGATACATGGTTACTTCTTTCTTTCTTTGTTGTATTGTTTTGTTTTGTTTTTTTTTTTTTTTTTTAAACATTTTCTGATAGTAACTTGCTCTGTTTGTTGATTGAAATATTGTGCAGGTCCCATTTTTTAGTGACGATGAGGAGACTCCAAGCACGCCTAAGGCAGATGCTGTTTTTTTTCCTCGGGAAAATCCAAGAGCTTTGGTCATTCGTCCCACAGAACATTGGCCATCAAGGGCTTTTGCAGATAAGATATCACCAATGAAGGATTTGTCTACTCCAGTTCAAGAGAATGGTAGGAGAACAAGTAAGTTCATAAGGCATCACAAAAACCAGAAAAACAATAAATTTTTAGGTTTAGAACCAAGAGTTTATCTTAGCAATTAGTTTTAAATTTATTAGCCCAAGTTTTCTTTTTGTTGTTTTGGGTTTATTTCACCATTTGATAATATAAGGATCTTCTGAGCAGTTTCGAAGGATGTTGGGACCCTGACCATTTTTGATAGGACAAAATGCTGGTGCTGGTTCTCATTAAAATGCATTTTGGTTCTCCCATTTATTTAAGGGTCAGGGAACCCTAATGATATATAGGAGATATTCAGATTTTTTTGGATACAATGAGTATTTTCCTTATAAAAGTGGTTTTTTGCCAGTTTTATGATTTTTAATCTTTTTTCAATGATTAAATTCCTTCTCAGTTTCCCATGGTTGACTATTTAAAATATGATGATATTCATTCAGGCAAAGTTTCTATCGGTGGCTCAAATGCTGAGGATAAAGATAGTAAGTAATTTGAAGCCTTTTGGATGTTATTTTACTGAGTTTATAGTTTCTACTTTTGTCTGCTGTTATATTTTCCTTTTATTTGGTTTTTATGCAGTTAAAAGTTACAGCTCCGTTTAGTATGGTTGTGGTTTTGGGTTTTATAAATTTTGCAACTAAGGAAAACTATAACTAAAAATCAAAAATTAAAAATTCATTACAAACAAAATTTAACACTGACAACTAAAAATATTTACTTGTTTAATAGCATTAAAACTATTGTTGTTCTTATTTCTCTAATAATCATAATAGTATGTTGTAAAAACATGTGGAAGTAAACGTGTTCTTTTGGTTATGGTTGCAAAATTTATAAAAACCAAAACCAAAAACTGAAAACCACAACCATATTAAATGGAGCCTACATGTCTTGGAATACTTCTTTTGTCCTTTTGGTTTTCGTCTTATTTACTGTTTGATGAATTTGTTTCTCAACTTTGGAAGAGAACTCTTTCCCATTTTCTGAAGTTATATTCATTTATGGGGAGATAATATATATAAACAAATATGGCAGAGATAACTGGGCATGTTTGGTGGAGCTTAAAAGCAAGTTTGCTTTTAAGCAAATTCTTCTCTCACAAATTTGAAAATCTGTTGGGGAGAAATTTTGAGTTTGGCTTTTGAAGTGGCTTATATTGACTTGGCATAAACATGATGAGTTTTTTCTTGTTGATGTTTTATGCTTCTTTTTCTGTGGTCTGGTTTCTGCTGAACTTAAGAGCAAATTTAGTTATGGTGTTATCTGCACATCTTGCAGAAAATCCAGTTGAAAATGGTTCTCCAGAGGAGCGAGTCCATCCAGTCAAAGTCAGCCCGAAGCCTAATGGAGTCCAAAATGATCATTCTGTTCAGAGAGATGACTCCTACAAGACTCTTAGTGGCCATAGAGCTGGTGAGGCTGCTATTGTGTTTGAGCATGGAGCTGACATTGAGGCACTGATGCCTAAGCTGCGGCGATCTGATTACTATACAGAACCTAGAATCCAGGAACTGGCAGCAAAAGAAAGAGGTGAACCAGGGTATTGCCGCCATGTGAAGGACTTTGTGGTTGGAAGACATGGGTTTGGAAGCATCAAGTTCCTTGGTGAGACAGATGTGCGACGGCTTGATCTGGAGTCTCTTATTCAGTTCAACAACCGAGAGGTGATTGTGTACATGGACGATAGCAGGAAACCCCCTGTTGGTCAGGGTCTTAATAAACCTGCTGTAGTAACACTTCTCAACATAAAATGCTTTGACAAAAAGACTGGACGTCAGTATATAGAAGGACCAAAAGCTGAGAAGTACAAGGAGATGCTTAAGAGGAAGACGGAGGATCAAGGAGCTGAGTTTGTGTCTTATGATCCCGTGAAAGGAGAGTGGAAGTTTAGGGTCAATCACTTCAGTGGGTACAAGCTGGGAGATGAAGAGGATGATGACACAGAAACATATGGTGCTTCAAGTTGCTGACAAGGAGATTTGGGAAATAGTCTTATCTGACGCCTGGTTCAAAGATTTATGCCTTGTGCTTTGCTTTGTAGGGAGGGTGGTTTTGAATTGTATATAAGTTTGTCAAATCGTGTGGTATTTCCACTTCCCAGTATGAAATGCCGGTTTTGTTGTTGTTTCAATCTTTTGGTCTCTGCTCTTTTATTTTCCTGATCTTGTATGGGTCTTTTCGGTTTGTCTTTCACCCCTTTTTTTCTTCTTCTCAATTTGTTATTTCTAGATTCGTATTGTGCCTTCCTTCTGAAAAGAAAATACATTCATTTGCAATATAGTTGTTTCATAATAAAGTTTCAGATTTCTGCATGTTCTTTTCATTTGGTTAACCGCATGAATCATTTAATGGCACAAATCGCTCGACAACACTAATAATCGTGAGACTTCTATTGTAATTGTCTCTATGTTTATCTATTTTATATGTATTTTAAAATGCTGGTTTTTTCACATTTGAAGCTTTCTTAAACTTAAATTCTCTATTAAAAATTGATGATAAATGTAAAATTGTAAGCTCACATGGTACCTATTTGAACGTGTATATTTATTGTAATTATATTATTTTTGTAATTATAAGGTTTTTCTTTTTTTTTTTTTTCAATGTAATTCGGATAAATTATGTTCCATCAGCTCCCCAAAAGGACCAAAAGTCAGAAAATTAAAGTTTAGGAACCATTTTATGACAAAAAATCTAAAAACCAAAATGGCTCAAAATCAAAAGTTGAAGCTCCATCCTGCACATTAAACTGAAGTTTTATGACACAAAGCTGAAATGGCCCAAAACAGCGGCAGTGCGCACCTGGCCAAGTGGCCTCTGGCTACCTTGAGGTGCATCCCCCTCCCCCATTGGGTGGGTTCGAACCCGCCCCATGACAATATTGTTCAAAAAAAAACAACAGCGGCAGTGCAATTTCGGACTTAAAATCAACGCTACGCGGGATGACCCGACCCATCATATAAAAGACTCATTGCTCTCTCCTTCACCAGCTCTCAGCCTTTTGGGGGGCCTTCTCTTCTCCGTCTCAAATCAACTCCGCCACTATCTTTCCGCCCCCCGCCGATTCAGATCGACGACAAGGTTCGCCTTCTATCAACCTTGAATTCATCTCTTTTTCTTCTTTTTTTCTCTTTTTTTCTCTCATTTTTTTTCTTCACTTTTTCACTTCGCGATGATTTCTACAGTTCATTGTCTTATATAGGTTTTGCAATTTTCTGTTTGATGTTATAGCTAGGGTTTTGTTGCAGATTCATTTAAGCATTATTCAGTCGCTTCATTTCATTCTATATTCTGATTTTTTTTTTTTTTGGTCAATGTGTCTGTAGAAAAACTTCAATCCGATCTTCTACTGAACTAGAAGATTGGTTTATTTTGATGCATATAAAGGCATAAAAAAGTATATGTATTGTAAGGAAGTAATGTTAGCGATTGAGCAAATATTATGTTTGTTTTTGGCTGTTATTGCTTAGTTTATATTATGCTCTTTTTTTTTCTTCCAGTTTGAGACAAGGAGCTGATACTGTTTCTGCCTTTCTGGATTAGACAAGTATTAGCAACAATGTTTGGTTCAACTAATCGTAAGCCTTTTTTTTAGTCTTAACTTCGTTGTTTTATAATCTTTACTTACATGTATATGTTTGCTGTCTTTAACAAAGTTAATTACATATCTTTTTAGAAGAAAAAGTCTAATTGGATAACCGTAATCATTTGAACAGCTTTTGGGCAATCTTCTAGTAGCCCGTTTGGATCACAGTCAGTGTTTGGGCAGACGAGTGCAAGTAATAATCCATTTGCTCCTAAACCATTTGGGAGCACAACCCCTTTTGGTGCCCAAACAGGGGGTTCTATATTTGGAGGCACCTCTACTGGTGTGTTTGGTGCCCAAACATCTTTACCTTTCTCCACAACAGCTTTTGGTGCATCATCATCTCCGGTTTTTGGAAGTTCTACACCTCCATTTGGAGCATCCTCAACTCCTACTTTTGGCAGTTCATCATCTTTTGGTGGTAACTTCCTGTTTGAAATTGTTTCCTT